TGGCCCGCGGTGCCCCCTGGCCGGCAGGCCGGGCCGCCCGGGCTCGCACCGAGGCCCCGTCTCACGATCTCAGCGAGGGCGCCCTCGGGGAGCCCCTCTCTCCAGGCTTCGGGCCTGCCCCCCTCGAGGTCTCCGGGACGGCTTGCTGGGCCGGCAGGGAGCCCCCCACCCTCATCACCCACCCCTCTCCCCCGCCGCGGGCTCCCCTGCCCTGGCTTTCTGGAGGGAGAAAGCCAAGCAGCCCGGAGCTGCTACGGGGCCGGGACTAATGTGCTCATGGACGTGACTGGCTCTGGCGTGAACATTTCAAGGCATTTTCTACCTATAAAAAGCAGTTATGGGGCGGGGGGTGGGGGTGTAGCTCAATGGTAGAGTATTTGCCTCATGTTTTAGGCCCCAGGTTGATGAAAACAAAGTTTTGTGAGAGCCGTGTGAACTCCAGAGGGTGGCAAGGGAATGTGCCCATGAAAAGTAAACTTAACAGAATATAAAATGGGAATGTGTCAGCCCTAACTCCTAGGAGTGTCCAGGTCTGCAAGCACGATCGGGGAAGTGAATCAACAGCCCCGCCAAGCAAGGGAGGACCCAGAATAATGGGCTGGGCTGGCACCAGCCCTGGCATCAAGCAAAAGGAGGGTAGGCAGACTTGTAAAACCCTAGGTCAATGCTAGCCGTCAAGGGCACAGATCTACTGCCAGAAATGAAGAGGGCACAAAGCCAAGGACAGCGGTAATGGAAGAGAGAAAGAAAAAAGGCAACAGACACAAATAGCAGGCCATGTAAGGGGCTGAAATGCCTGGAGAAGAGTTAACACAGCAGCTCAGCCAGATCCTAGGAGCACAACCATTTAAGTCGTTCAAGTCAGTGAGGTATTATTCAGGGTAGATGACTTGTGTGCCTGCGCAATCCCAGGAGATACTTGCTGATCCAGAATGTATGATGGACACCTCTGGGGTTGGTACCTCCAGGTTAACCCCCCTGCCCCCACTAATTAAAGGATTCTAGAGTGAGCTGGCATCCCAGCTCAACCATCAGGCTGGAGTACAAATGAACCAAAAGTTGGCACTAGTGGCTCATGCCTGTAATCCTAGCTACTCAGGAGGCTGAGAACCAGGGTTCAAAGCCAACTCCAAACAGAAAAGTCTGTGACTCATCTCTAACCAGCAAAAAGCCAGTTCATCATTATTATTATTTTTGAGCCTCTTTATGCTCAAAGCTAGAGCTCTACCACTTAAGCCACAGCACCATTTCCAGCTTTTGAGTGGCTAATTGGAGATAAGAATCATGTGTGGAATTTTTCTGCCCAGGCTGGCTTTGAACTGTGATCCTGAGCTCTCACCCTTTCAAGTAACTAGTTACAGGCGTAAATCACCGGCATCCAACTCATCCTATCTTTTAAGGCTGTGTGTATGCATGTGTGCGTGTGTGCGCACGCGCACACACACAAGCATGCTCCTGTGCACATGCTGGTTCTGAGCTTGAACTCAGGGCCTGGGCACTGTCCCTGAGTTTTCTTGCTTAAGACTAGTGTTCTACCACTTGAGCCACAGCTTCACTTCCACCTTTTTGGTGGCTAATTGGAGATAACAGTTTCATAGGCTTTTCTACCTGGGCTGGCTTCCAACCACCATCCCCAGATCTCAGCCTCCTGAGTAGCTGGGATTACAGGCACGTGCCACCAGTGCCCAGCTCATATTAGGCCTTTTGGTACCAAAAAGAACATGTGCTTGGAGTCAGCGCCATTTCTGTCTCACATACTCACTTACTTCTATGAACTCAGTTCCCATTTCTTTCATACAGATATCAACCCTACAAGTTGGCTGTTAAGAATTAAAAATTATGCATATAATATGTGTAATAGTGCCTGGCCATATTATGTACGTTTGATAAGTAAGGAATCATTAAGTGTGCATGAGCTTACATATTATATTAGGGTTAGCTATGACTACACTATGAGAAAACCCAATGGCCATAATAAATGAAAACAGAATATAGGGTTCAAAAGATCAGAGTCCTTAAAAGAAGTTAATGAGTTTAACAGGTTTGACCTGCAAAATCTTTTTTCTTTCTTTTTTTTTGCCAGTCCTGGGGCTTTAACTAGGGGCCTGGGCACTGTCCTTGAACCTCTCTGTGCTCAAGACTAGCACTCTACTGCTTGAGCCACAACGCCACTTCTGGCTTTTTCTGTGTATGTGGTACTGGAGAATCAAATCCAGGGCTTCATGCACTCTAGACAGCACTCTACCACTGAGCCACATTCCTAGCCCTGTAAAATCTTTTTTTTTTTCTCTTGTCAGTCAAGGGGCTTGAACTCTGGGCCTGGGTGCTGTCCCTCAGCTCTTCAGCTCAAGACTAGCACTCTACCACTTGAACTACAGCGCAACTTCTGGTTTTCTGTGGTTTTATTGGAGTTAAGAGTTTCATGGACTTTCCTGCCTGGGCTGGCTTTGAACCGGGGTTCCTCAGATCTCAGCCTCCTGAGTAGCTAGGATTACAGGCGTGAGCCACTGGCTCCTGGCTTCTGTAAAATCTTAAATAGCATGTGTTTATATACATGGTAACTCATTGATGATTGTAAACATGTGCTGAACATAAAAGAAGCCATTGTCTTAAATGCCAGATGCTGAAATTTCATAAGAGTTCCTGTTAAATTCCTCCCAACCAACACAGTCAGCAGATAAGCAAGGTGACAATGTATCCAAAAGGATTTTGTTTCTTGATGAATGTTAATGATCTTAGCTTGCTTGGTAACCTTGATAGAGTTAGCCAAAAATAGAGGGTGAGCTTACTGAAGATGACAATAATGATTAATAATGGCCTGAAGAAGAGGCTTTAGAAATCTCATAAGCCAACCACAAGGCAACTTTGTTTTCTAGATCATCGTAGGATGCCAGTGATAGAAGAATGTGCATAAGACGACAACCTAAAAGCAAGTAGTCTTTACTGAATGGAAGAATAGGGACAGGGAAATGTTTAAGTTATAATTTTCCAAAGTTTCTTTGCTTAGAAGAGAGATAACAAGGACTATATGGCAATAAGTGAAGGCGCCTCAGACAGCCTACACTCACAATCTGGGGACAATTTTTGGTGGCTCTAGTCCTTGAATCATTTACTCATTTAACAAACATTTGTTGATTGTCAGCTATGTGCTAAGGATGATGCATGGAAGAATAAGATAAGCATAACTCTACATTCAAAGATTAAGCCAGGAGCTAGTGGCTCATACCTGTAATCCTAGCTACTTGGGAGACTGAGATCTGAGGATCAAGGTTTGAAGCCAGTCTGGGCTCTGGAGAGATTCTTATCTCCAATTAGCCAGCAAAAAGCCAGAATTAGAGCTGTGGTACAAGTGGTAGAGCACCAGCCTTGAGTGAATAAAGCTAAGGGAGAACACTCTGGTTCTGAATTCAAGCCCTAATAATGGCACGATTGTTTACTTATTTATTTATTCATGGCTGTGGGGCTTAAACTCAGGGCCTGGGTGCTGTCCTTGAGCTCTTCTGCTCAAGGCTAGTGCTCTACTACTTTGAGCCACATCTCCACTTCCAGTTTTCTGGTGGTTAATTGGAGATAAGAGTCTCACAGGGACTTTTCTGCCTGGGCTAGGTTGGAACTGCGATCTTTAGGTTCTCAGCCTCCTGTGTAACTAGGATGACAGGCGTGAGCCACTGGTGCCCAGCTTTTTTTTTTTAATTACCTAACACTTCCTCTGCACTTCTGGATGATAAGGAGATAGCACACATCCCATTCTTCAGATAAGGAAATGTAACTTGCAGAGGAAAACAGATATGTCTGAGTCACACAGACAATAATGATGCAAAGATATCAGCTTTTTCATAGCCACTCCTCTTGGAGGATCAGACTCCTCCTTAGCAATGGGGTCAGCTTGTCACTGGGACCCATTCACCCGCAGACCTGTGGACATGCCTTTCTGTGCTACACTAGCACATTCTTGAATCTACAGGTCGGAATACATTCTTAGTGTCGTGTTGTTAAGCAAAAGGAATGAAACAGGGAGAACAGGTTGAACACATCAACATTGGACATTAGGTTTAGCAGTCAAAAGCATAGGACTTAAAACCTAGGAGGCGCCACATAAACAAGGGTCCGGAGGTCTCCAAGGAAAGACAGTTACTAGCAAGATTAAAGGTCTGGATATACAAAGCAGCCCTTCAGAAAAAGGGCTGACACTATTCCTGCAGCCCCTTGGTGTCTACAGCCGCAGTCAGACTCCAGCTCTGGACACTCTGACCATTTTTTAATTTCCTCTGGTCCAGCAAAACCATCTAAATTCTCTAAAACTGAGTGGAGCTGTAGTTCCAAGTGGTAGAGTGCTAACCTTGAGCAAAAAAAGCTAAGGACAGCACCCAGGCCCTAAGTTCAAGCCCCATGACCCCAATGAACCTGCTAGGTGTTGATAGCTTACATCAAAGAGGTTGAGCTCTGAGGATCACAGTTTGAAGCCAGCCTAGGCAGAAAAGTCTGTGAGACTCTTATTTCCAATAAATTTCTCAGGAAAAGCCAGAAGTGGCACTGTGGCTTAAGTGGTAGAGTGCAGGTCTTAAGCAAAAGTTGCTCAGAGACAGAGCCCATCCCTAAGTTCAAGTTCCAGGACCTGCTCCCCTTCAAAAAAAAAAAAATTCTCTAAAACCAATCTGAGAGCTTCCTACTTTATCACTGGCATTCTTG